TTTTTTTTCAATTCAAATATATTATAAGAATTTTTTTAAAAAATTATTTAAGGATTCAATTAGAGTTTATATCAAAATTGAGGATCAAAATTGAAATTTAACATAATTCATTAAGAATATTTTTGTATTCCTAGAAATATTTTTGTATTTCTAAACATATAGACATTATTTTATTTTTTTAATAGACAGATTACCTTATTGAAATTTTCATTAAAAAAAAAATAAAGAGAAGGAATGAAAATTGTAACCCTAGTCATGCAGGTGAAGAAGCGGCTGCCTTCCCCCCATACAGATGTTTTTAAGGGCAGTATGGATGATTAAAAACATCTCCAAAGATACTTTCTGTTTTTCTGTAATTTTTGTGGGAGTGTTGTCTCAATAAATTGATATCAAGGCCCTAAAGTGCCATGAATAAAAACCACTCATGGGTTTATCGATTTAACCTTATTCAGAATCTTCAGCTTTTATTTGTTACACTGAATTCAGAAAATTCAGACTATGAAGACAGAGTGATCAGATTTCTCACGGTTGTTGCAGTTGCAAATTTTAGAATGCTGCAAAAAAAAAAAAATGGTCAACTAACATGAAATTTCTTACTCAATTTCCTCAACAATTCTACAAACCTTCCTTCCTCAGGGCAACTCAGATATGCCAAATTCAGAGTTGTTTGCACATAAATTGGTCTTCCCTTGATATTTTTCTCCTTCTACCCCACCAATGCAATTCCAGCCACTCTTTCTCTTGCTCGTTTGCAGATTCAGCCGTTACCTTGCAAAATGTTTATAACATCACTGTCTAGACTCTGTTGCCATTCCAATATTATTCATACCATTGAAGCTTGATGTAACAGTGCAAAACAATTTCTTCGTATCTTCACCGCTAATTTCTATCAGAGGCTGCCGTGGTTAAACATTACAAGACAATATGTTAAATTCATTGACTGATTCCAAACATGAAAAAACTCACTGAAAGAGATACCCCTGTCAATTTCTAAAACGTTGGTCATATTGCAAATCCAACGTTTAATCTGTGTTACCTGTGCTCCATGCACACCATTTATTCTGAACGGATCAAAATTTTCAGCTCGGAAAGGTTGAATTCTGCTATTGGTCGGAGAGGAAGAAAAACTCAAGTTGAAGTGCTAACCACTCCTATTGACTGGTGGTGCTTTGTGAGATGTTGAGATGTAAATTATGTTGCCCCAGTTGTCTTGTTTCGAGTGATGTCTGAATTTGGGAGAAGGATCCAAGCTGAGTTAGTTGGATGTAAAAGGGTCACGTGATTCACACGCTGGGCACTGGCAGTGGTCTTTTGGATGTCCTGGGAGGCTCAAATAGCTGATGTAGTTGCTGGCAGTAACAGATGCAGATAAATTGAAATTATATATCAGTACAAATATGTCAAAAGTTCATATCAAAGTTAATAACTTTTATGAATTCTAATAGTGTCTCACCATTTGAATGTTGAACGAACAAACTAATAAATAAAGGCGTGAAGGAACTCGAGTCAGGCAGCAAATAAATATCGAACAACTGAATTCCTTTGTGACAAAAACAATTGCACTGGCTTTTGAATTTTTTCACATAACCTGAAGGGAATAAACTAGGGTGGTAAAAATTCACCAAAACTCATTAACTTAATTTTAACTCAATCCGTAAAAATAAGTTAAAGTTTATATATCTTAACTTGTAACTTGTAGATAACTTATAATATTAGTCCATATGGGTCACAAGTTAAGTTTGGATTAACCTACGAGTTAATAGGTTAATTCTTTTAGTTTTTTTTTTCTTTAAATATTATACTTATTATTTTTAATTAATTTTTTTATTAGTAACTTTCTTCGTTAATTCATACTCTTTAACCATCTTTTTATTACTCAAATAGTTTTGAATTTATTTTGAGTGTTTACTCATTATTATTTATTCTTTTTTCTTTAGAAATTATATGAGTTTGATCTAATTACTAAGTATTGTAAATTAAATGATAATGTAATTAAAAATATTAAAGATATGATGTTAGAATATAAAGATAATAATTTAGAGAAAGATATTATTGGAAAAGCAATTTCATCATTAAAAAAAACCTTAAACTCTTTGATAATGTTTCAAAATAATTGTAAAATTAAACCTTTATTTTTTTAAAAATTTAAATATTTTAATTTTTATATTGTTATTCAACTTATTGTTATTTATAATTTTATGGTTTTTTCTTAATTTAAATGTTTGTGATGGAAACTATAAAATGCTTAATGTTAATAAATTACAATACTTTAATTAAATTTAAATACAATTTCATTTGTATATAATAAAATTAATAAAAACAATTATAAAAAATGAAAATGAGATGAACCTATAGATTAACCCATAACCCACTAAGATTAGGTTAAAATTGGATTTTTCCAACTAACAACTCATTTACAACCTACAACTCATTTACAACTTAACTTATATAACCCGTCGCTCAAGTTAACCCAACCCAAACCTGATCCAACTCGTCCATTTGCTAGCCCTAGAAAAAACCAAAGCTTGCCAAGCTCAACAAAAACATCCAAATTCTTTTATCATAGCCAAAAAGAAAGAGAGTAAACCCATACTGCAAATTATTTCTTCTAAATCTAGGAACTAGATGGATTCATCCAGCACAAAATCATGCAACTCAACATCAGAATAGTACTTCCCATTTCTTCTTGCAGAAATATCGTCATGGCAAATACTACTTGTTCATCCTTCACATCTCAAGAGCCATCTCACCGTGAAAAAGTTTAAGAACTGGTCAGTCCCTTGCTAGCTACTTCACTAACAATGGAATTTCAAGTTCAAAGTTCCAAACTATAGATTTCAAAACAATTTATGAGATCAAGTGTAAATCGGAAATGATTGCAAAGTAAGTTACAAAACTCTAATAGATTCACAATATTTCTTTGCTTCACACCATTGAATTTAATTTAGCTAGTATATAAGGTTTGACCAGTTGAGCCTTTTCTGTAAAGTGAAATTGTTTTCCTGTGCAAATAAAGAGCCTTTAGACCAACAATAATGAAGGCTAGCCCTTAAATGTGTATGATAATAGCAGCAGTAGTAGTGAGGAGATGCCCATTACAAGACCAATCTTTGTAACTAATAAAGACACCCTTAATGTTACATGATAATTTGGAAACAATTGAGTAATTATGTACTCTGTTACAACTAAAAGTTATATAATCTTTCCGCAATTCTACTCTTAGGAGAACGACCAAGGGTTCAAGCATGAGATTTCTACGTTACAGAATTCAAGTTCAAACCTTGAATGTGCAAACAAATGGGAGGGCTACTCTATAACCTTTCTACTTTCATGGCCAACCTTCATGACCCTGCAAGGGTTGACAATCGATTCCAAAGCCTGAAATTCACCACTTCCAATGCCTCCTTCTCTATTTGATTCGGTTGAACCACATAACATAAACAGATTCAACACTGAAAATTTAGAAGATGGGTAAGGAACTGCACAAGAAGTAAAAATGGACAATCACTATTAGACTGTTTAGAATTATATAACTCCATGTTATATTATTGAGTGTTTCACCCCTCCCCTCCAGAACTTTGTCTTTTATTGCAAACCTGGCTGTTCCACAAAACACAGTACTTATGCAAGTTTAAGTCTCCAAATCAAAATACAAGGAATCACGTTGAAGATCATGCGAAGAGAAATAGAACCATTCAATAAAAGTGATATTAAATATCAATGAACACGACTCTAAAGCCTTAAAAGCAAACAAATGAAAATAAAAAGTCCTCAAACAGTTATAAATTGTCGTCATCACTGTAGTGTTGAAGTAGTATATTTTTGAATTAGCTCATGGAACAAATTGTTCACTATCATTTGCCACTCACGATATGCAGATCAACTAGAACTATTGTATCTTCAATGCTGACCATAAGAGGTTAGACGTATCATCAACTCCAATGTGAAAATATAAACCTTGATGTTAAAGACAAAATTCAAGTTTTGAAAAAATATTATGCAATAAAAAACCTCTGTTCCACGTGTACACTGAAGACATAAAATCTAGTCAGCAGAGTTCGCAACTACTCACCATTTCTGGCATGCTTGAATTTATATAAAATTTTTCTTATTCCAGTGCCAGCCTTGAGCAATAAATTTTAGCTTTTACAAAAGGCTACTGTTACTAGAGTTAGCTTCATGCTTGGACTGAATTACTTAATGCTTGGACTCCGTAGCATTTTTATCATCATAAACACTTACCAAAGTCTTTTCATTGTCTACGTGTGATGCTCATAGGCATTTACCTTATAAAGCCGTTTCAATGTCTATGTGTAATGCAAATTTTTGGCGTTAAAAACAATGCCAAGTATTGTAAAAGAGGGAAAATAATTCAAAATAGTTTCATCCAAACAGTTTCACAACAATTGCACTCATATATCTTAGATGCCCATTTTTCACCAATTCACCCTTCAGTATTTGTTTATCCTCTCTAATATCTCCCAGGCACAACCCAAGAAAATTCACATAGGTTTCTCCATCCTCCCTTAATATTTCACTGCAGTACCAGGAAGTTCAACCTCTCATCAGCACTATTTCCAGAAAGTAAGTCCAACTTTATGCAATTCGTATAATTCATTACAATTCTCTATGATCTTAAGTTTGCGTCTTAGCAATTAAAGGTTGTATGTATTTAGATGTTGAATTATTTAAATTTACGATCCAGACTTGATATCCATCGTCAATATATGCCTAAGAGAGATAATAAACAAATTTGAGAGGGTTAGCAAGTTCCCTTTTTTCAAAATTTTTAATTTTTAATTTTTTATTGTCTTTGATTTGTTCATCATAGGGCAGGGAAGGATAAAATCAGACAATTCAGACACATACAACATGATAAAATTTTTCTGGATATATCTAGCCTAAAACATTTAAACAGGTTTAGATTGAAATGAGACAAACCAACACAGTTACCTGCTTGGGTTTTAATTTGATGGCACTGGCACAAAAAGGTTGGTTTATGCTTGCCAATTACTACAGGATTTCCCTTTCCACGGGCTACTTGTAGTTGCAGCCATCTTTTACATAGTCTTAAGGATGAAATTCATCAATTTTGACTCCTGCATGTATGCATGAAAATAAATGAAGTGAGAGATGTTTATCATTAATAAAAGGTCACATTTAGATTCCCATGGCTATAGAGAAGGTCTAGTCTACAAGTGCACAAAAAAGGCCTAAGGATGCATGTCCCAAAGGTGGACCTAAATCAGGGATTATTTGACATCACTATCATATAGGTTCCTAGAGGTGTCTAGTAGCATATCTTATACACGTACATGTCTAAAAATCCTCATAGACAAATATCACATAAGAAAACGAGGAGTTCATAAATAGTTATCAAAAAAAAAAAAAGGAGGGGCATCACATATCATCATTATCTGCAAAAGCAGAACATGATATAACTTTTTCCCCTCAGAAAAAGCATTAACATTAGACAATAGACAAATGGAAAATGTAACATACAGGCAACCGAGGTGTTTATGCAAATCAGAGGACTCTATCAAGTGGTATCTTGAGTTATACCGTGTGCACATGTACTAAGGGTCTTATGCTTGTCTTGGATACAGTCTTTACAAACATGTGCTAAACTTCTCCGCTGTTCTTTTTTTTTTTTTTTTTTTTTTTTTTTTTTTGAACAAATACAATTATCTACAACTACAACTACTAAGGGGGTGGGAGAAGGGAGAGCTGAGAATTTAAACTCAAATCTCCCAGTGGTGTTCCCACTAAGGAACAGAGTGGAAGAACAAACTCCTTTGCTGTTTATCATCATATACTTCCCTAATTCTTATATGCTTATTACTCTGATTCTTAGCACCCACTGTCAGAGAAACTTTCAAGCATGGCTGAAACAGGGAACAATCCAAAGCACTTCTGCGGCATTATTAACAGAATACCAGATGAAGTAATTCAAACCATAGTGGATAAATTATCATTAGCAGATGCAGTAAGAACAGGATCCATATCACGTAGATGGAAAGATCTATGGAAAAACATTTCCATCATTAAGTTTGGGCCTGACTGGGCCAACTCGACAGGAAAAGAAATAATCCCATCCCTCAATCAGTTTATCAGTCAGCATCGAGGTCAGAAAATCAAAGAATTTTGTGTTGAGGTCACCTACAAACCTGAAATGTCTTCATCTGTAGATTCATGGATCCTATTTGCGATAGGAAAACATGTTGAAGAATTACATCTTGACTTCAGTGTGAATGATGGAGATCCTTGTTATCACTTAGTCCCCCATGTTCTCAACCGTAAATCATTAACTAGCTTGAGGCTCACCTTTTGTGACCTAAAACTACCGGCAATCATTCAGCTTCAGTCTCTTAAAGAAGTGCACTTCCATCGAATTGAACTACCTGAGAATGCAATCCTTACACTCACTTCTAGAACTCCTGTCCTTGAATATTTGTTCTTGTCCGATTGCAACAGGACTAAAGATCTCTGCATCCATGTTGCTCCAGATTGTTGTCTTACTCTTTTGGGATCTCTGATAGCTCTTCTGTATTCAACCAAGGAACCAGAATGGTCCTCAATGCCCCAAGTGTTCCAAATCTGCTATTTTATGGTTACTTGCTAAGGTCAGATTATCAAATGGAGAACATAACTGGATGTTCTTCTGTCCGGTTCCTTGGGGATGTCATGTTTGAAGCTTGTCGAGAAGTTGGGCTGGGTATACCATTCAATGACTACCAGAGCCTAAAGTTTGAAAATCTGCTCCAACAACTTCTTCTTTCATCACAAAAAGCAGATTCAGTTCACTTAAGCAATTGGTTTATTCAGTTACCCATCTGACTATGAAATCTGCTTTCTGTACTCCAGCAACTTGTTCAATACTTCAAAGCTAATAACATCATCTTTTATGAAATGGCTTAAATTCCTAGAATTGGTAAAAACTAAAAACCGTCAGAACTAGTCCCACACCAGAGGATACTAGAGCCCAGTGATGTGATAAGATTTGATGTCCTTAACAAACAAAGCATTAACTTTCAAAAATGGAGAAATTTTCAGCTTTCTCTGTATTTGGATACTGTCATAAGAAATCAATGCTCAATGCAGCTTCTTTCTCTAAGAGAACTAAGAAACTTTAGAGGAGTGACTCTATACTACACCAAACTGGAAATCGTCACTTCTTTCAGGAAATGGGAGCTGCCAGGAATTTTTTACATGTTAAAAGCCTGTCCTGTTCTCAAAGAGCTAGTCATATTGTCAGCTATCAGAAATGACAAGATAGAGGTACATCTTTCATATTTTATTTTGATATTGAGATACTTCAACTTCCTTCCCTCACGTAACATTAAAATTATCTTATCATTCAATTTCCAAAACTATTGTGCTTAAAAAATACGAGGTTCCCAAAGATTTCATGATGCAGCATGACTTTCAAGAATACAGATACTAGAGAAGCCAACTGCTCTCTTTAAAGGTAAACTGAAATATCTAGAGACTGTACGTTTCATGATAATAGATGGAGAGTACCAGACATGGAAGGAAGGCTTTTTTGAATTGTACTACCTCTTCAAGGGATCTCGAATAGGACCAGAGCTGGCAGCATTTCTGAGGTTGACTGCCCCAAATCTGAAGCGTATGATTTCCGAGACTTGAGAACAACACCATGAAGTTTGTTTTCAAGCCAACAACTAAAGCTCATTTCTAAAGTTGCTTCCTTTTTAATCATTACCTGCACCTCATTAAAAAATAAGGACATCAAATGATGAACTTAGTGATGATGATTCAGTTTCATGTTTGAGCCATGTAACTCAAGACTTCTTGTTATGCTCTTTTCATGTTCTTTGATTGTGAGGTGATTTGCAAAAAAAAAACCCTTTTTATTTTTAACAAGAATTCCTGTTATGCTCTTCGTATGTTCTTAGATTGTGAGGTGGTTTGCATAAAAAAAAACACCTTTTTATTTTTAGTATCTCCTTGATTAAGATTAACCTGGTTTTATATTTGATTTCATCCGTTACATTTAGGAAATCAGAAACAGCAAATGATCAGATGAAAATACAAAAATTCACACAATTAGCAGGAATTCCACAACATATGCAGTGGTGATTAGCTTAAGAAACTAAAAGGGAAAAAACCATGAGGAGAAAAGAACCACTGCCAATTAGTCATTGGGATTGTCTTTGAACAGATTGTCATAGTAAAGGCAAAATGAAAAATGGAGACAGAATTAGTAGACTAACCGATTGAAGTTGCAAAAAGAGATGGTGGCGGGGGCGACGCCAGAATAGGTGTAGTTGAGATGTAACGCCATTAAAAGGGGTGACTTTCCAATTCTGATGGCTTTTGTCGAAGACCACAGAAATAGAGCTGGCGTAGGCTAGGCTAAGGTTTATTCACCTGATGAGATTGGACATGCATTAAATTAATTGAGATTCAGTGAGAATTTTATATATTGGACGTTTATTGTTTGTTTGGGTTGAGTGGAGTGGAGGGAGGAGAATTGAAAGTATTTATTTAGTTATAGAAAAAATAAAGAAAAAGAAGTAGAAATTTTATTTTATTTTATGTTTTAAAATTTAATTATTTATTCAAATAAGAGGAATAAAAAATAAAAGAACATAAAATTTCATTTTTCCCTTTTCCTCTCTTTTTATTTCTCTGAATCTAAATATAAAATTAATTAGAATAAAACAAAATAAAAAAAAAGATAGACAAAGCAAAAAAATATTATACACATTAATTCATTTTTTAACAAGAAACTATGAATATCAAATATGTTTAAAAAAATTCCTAATTTTGGTCAGGCTTTTCATTACCATCTAGTCAGAGTTCAATTTCATGCCATATATACACTGGTGAAAATGAGTTGGTTAATGTGTTTTTGAATTAATATTTACCCATTTTAAGATTAATTGCTTTATAAGTAATTTTAAGGTATACTTTTGCATCAAATTAGTGTATAAATAAATTAATTTCTAAGTATTAGTTTAAAAATAATATTTATTTATTAATAGATTTAATCCTAAAAGTAATTAGTGAACTCTTTTCTATATAAAAAGTTTTCAAAGAAAATTAGGTAGCAAGTAAGGAATTGCTTATAGTTAACAAATATTTGATTATTTAGAAAAGTTAACAAAGAAGTAATTCTTTTTAAAACTTGTTAATTTTCTTAAGTGAGTTAAGTATTATCTTTTGCAAAATTTTGAAAATTGAATTAATTTTCATGTTTATTCTGTTTTATCAATTTCAAGGTTCTCTTGTGCTTGCTGGGGGAAAATAAAATTCAAGCTATTGCTGTAGATATTTGCTTGAAGTTTGAACTAGAATGTCGTATATAGTTTTTTTTTTTTTCCCTTTCTTTTTTTTGGTAATTAGTAGACTGCTATAGCCTATAGTCATCTCCAATGCTGCAAGTGCCAAATGCAATAGAATTTTAATGTTTCCCAATTAAAAAAAGAAGGGCATATCATTTTTCACTTTTGGCAACTAGCTGCTGTAGTTCAATTAAATTAATCGATGTTTTAGAGTTTAATAATTCATTTTTAAATCTTAATAATTAGATAAAATTAATTAAAAATTCAAGTTTCATTAATTACTTAAATATTTATAATAAATCATGGGTCATCGGTGCTTCTGTAGCTCTTAGATTAGCCTATTTTCTTTTTCTCTTATAATTGTTCTTGTTTAAAAAAAAAATTAAATTAATCGTACATAAATTTTCTTTTCTTTTGAAAGAAGGCAATTGGTGCAAAGGTGGAGCTGGAGTCATTGTCTAGCCAATAGTTTTGTACTAAAGATTCTACGTGCCATCACCCAAGAGCCTTATGACTACTAGTACGTGGTTGACATACTCCGTAAAAATTTGTTACAATTCCATGTGCCATCTATTATAATTGCGATTGGATGTGAACGGTCTTCAATTCTAGCATGTTCATATCTGAATGTGACTGAGGCAAAAAAATAAAAAATAAATAAATAAAAAAATTTAAAGAAAAGTAAATTTGATGTTGTACCTATGATTTTGATGATTACAAAACACATTTGAGTGACTAATTGGTTTATTTAAGTGTGTAGTTAAGTTGCTAAAAGATTGCAAGTAAACTTGGATGGCACTAAAAATAGACCAAAAGGATTCAATGTGCAGAGAGCCGGCTCTGGTAAAGTGCAGCCGGCTCTGGTGAAATGGAAGTGCAGAGAGCCGGCTCTAGAAGCTGCAGC